AAGTGAGAAAAAATCCCAATTACTGTTTCAGTTATTACAAAACAATTAATCGAACTCTTCTCACAGACACACACAAACGAAAATAATTTTAACAAAATCATTAAATTTGCAATGAAAATTGATTCTTTAACAAATAATTCTTGGGCAAAACAATCAATTTTGTCAATTATCGCTCAAAGAAGATCGGAACAAACTTACCATAGCTGAACGGCAAAGCAGCTCTTTGTTTCCCGAATGAGATTAGGGTTTTTTTCTTTCTCGTAAGGAAAAATTCCTCGGAAAAATTAGATCTTTCCTTGATAAATTTCGGAATCAGATGTTCTTTTTGCTTTGGGGAAATGACATCTGCCGTTGAAGCAAACCCTAAAATGGCTTCCAGACTCTGGAGTCTTCTAGAAAACAGACCTCTCTTTGGAGAATATTACGAAACAACCATGAAGGCGAAAAGACAAAACCACCCCTTATATTTTTTTTTAGAATTAATTGCACAATGTGATATTTTTTTAAAGGATTTGAATAATGTGATTTTAAGGCCACAGCTTTCACAAAAAAATTAATATACGTATTATTTTATTTTTTAAATTGACTACATCATTAATTATTCAGAAAAAAAAGACTACATTAACCAGTAATATTCTTTTAGAAATTGAAGGGTCAAAATTGTAAAAAAGAAAATTACAATTTGTAAGAGGCAAAACAGAAAAAATTCAGAGGTTAAAATGTTAAAAATCCAAACTTCAGACCCAGAACTGAAAAAAACAAAAAAAAAAACAAAAAAAAAAAGCCCAGATGACTGGAAAAGCGAAAGAAAACCCAATAGAGAAGAAGAGCATTTGACTAGCCTAATTTTACACATTTCCTCTGCTCTGTTAATGCCATTGTAGAGGTCAGTTTCCTTTTAAATGTGGATATTTTACGTATACATATTTTGCTTTTTGTTCTTTCTTTTTGGAATTCTTTTATGTTTTTAGTTTTTGCATATATATGTATTTATGGCAATTTACATGTCTGTTGTCTGCTGTTGATTCGTTGTTTGTAATTAAAGGTGTGTCTTTTTGGACCAAATTAGGACTCGATTTGGGTTTCAATGAGAATATTGTATGATCCCAAAGGAAGTAGAACAAAGCTTAAGCTGTTTTTTTTTTTTTTTTTTTTTTTTTTTGGCGTGGCATCAATGCTTGGGTAGAATGCGGGGCTGGAGATTCCCTTTTCTGAACCGAATGATATATATATATATATATATATATATGTTAAGGAAGAGGTGTTTCTGTTTCTTAAGTGTTGCTTTTTCTGGAAAATGTGTTTTTTTTTTTTTTTTTTTGAGAAAATTAGGATGATTACAGAAACATCCCTTTAGTTGGAATCTTGGTCGAAAAAAATGTGGAAATCATCCAAATTTTTTGTTGTTGTACTATGGATTTGGGATTTAGTAGTCTCTGTCTAGTACAGAATCCTAATTTGAATGATGAAGTAGACTTGAATTTTCAAGTAGACTTAGACAAGAAACAAATAGACGGTTAGCCTCTTGCCAAGCCCGTTATGCCAAAAGTAGAAAAATGTTTGGGGGCACTACTAGTTCTAAGCACCATGACTAACTAAGAGAAGCACTACCAGTTCTAAGCACCACGACTAAGAGAAGGTTGGTCCTAAAAGTTGATCCCATACTATATAGTACTCAGCTTCTCTTAGTATGTAGTACTTAGCACTACCGATGTTTGATAGCATTGTTAAAAAATTATATGCATATGGCCTATTGTTTGTTTGTTATTGCCTTCTAGTTAAGGGTATCAGTGATGCCCAATATCACAACTCGCATAAGATAGGTCTCACATGCATCGCACATGTAAAAAGAACCTATGCCATATGAGTTGTGGTGATGTTCACCTTCGTGGGTCTTATGCAAATATGAGTTAGCAAATAGGAAGCTAACTGGAGATTGATCAAGTTTACTGTTTGTTATGTTGAATGTCTTTGGTTTATTATCTCAAGCTTATGTAACCAATTTCATGTTTGTTTCTTAGTCTTCTCCGTTTCGATTGCAGATTGTGATTTTCACCTCTATCAACTTGGAGTAGAAAGAATTAGCAAAATGGCCTATGAGATAACTGAGCAAAAGAGTAAGCATTTCGAAAGAAACCAGCATTTGGTGGAATCTACCTTCAAGTGCCTTGGTTATGTTTCTTTTCTTTTGTGAAAGTATATGCTTTTAAATCCAAGATTTTTTTGCAAACATTGCAGAGATTGGCATAGGTCTTATTGGATTTGGCATCTTTTTCTCATTACTTGGTGTGATTCTCTTCTTTGATAGAGGTTTGCTTGCATTGGGGAATGTAAGGTTTTTCCTTAGCTGAACACATGCGACTTTATTTCTTCCATAATCCCAGTATTCTCTTACGTCTGTGTTACCAATTTCAGATCTTTTGGTTGACTGGGGTAGCCATTTTGCTCGGTTGGCGTTCTACTTTGAAACTTTTTACCAACCAAGCATATTACAAGGTACTTGTAAGAAGCAAAGAACTGTTTGTTCAAATGAGGATCGATTTCAAAATTTTCTTGTTATATTTTTATTTGATTTACGGTTGCTAATCACTTCATTTTTATCCGTATGAAACCACTCAAATACAGAAGTGCTAACATTTTATTTTACGTTGTCGAATGATTAGCAAACGCACCCTGCTAACACCCTATCTATCACATTTACAGCTACAATAGATGTTAAACTTACTTTTGTTAAATGCATTTAAATCACAATGCATTACAATACAATCCAGTAGCTAGCATGACATTTCTTTTTTTCTATAGCCTAGGAATCCCAAAACCTACTTAGCGGGCGGCTCCATGAACCATACAATCTTTCTGAAGCTTGAAACTCTTGGTTATTTACCAGGTTGGTGACCCTGAGGAATTGAACCCTGGACCTTGTGAGAGCAAACCGCAGGCCTGACTGCTCGACCAACCCTCAGAGTTTAGATCATTTAAATCAGCTAACTTTGGCAAATCCTTGGACCCTTTAGTATCCACAAACGTTACAAACGCCTCAATTCATATTTTATTTAGCAGAAAAGACATGAGACAATGGAGTGGATAGATATTATTACCTATTTTTACTCCCTTGAATGCGAATAGCACTACCTTTTGTCATTGGAATAATTGTGTGGATTAAGGGCATTTTTTTAGTGGTTAGGTGGGCCTCGTTCACGGGGCTGGTACTTTTAACTTAGCTGTGAGGTTGTCTGGTATTCTTCCCTTTCCCATGGAGGAAAATTCAGCCAGAAAAATCATACTCGAAAAGTACGTAGAGTTTGTAGTCTACCGCAGTAAGAAAAACTATTGTGGATAACCCGACAAAGATTGATGCTATCTTAATTAAATGGTGTTATATGTGCAAGTTCCTCTGGTTTATTTGCATCAATCTTGCCACCTTTTCTTCGTCTCCTTCTTTCTTTTTCATTTATTTGTGTTTGTAATCCTCTGGTTTTGGAAGGCTGTTGAGAGTCTATTACTGTGGACGAGCTGAAATACAAAATCCCGCTGTAACTGGCTTACAGGCCAGTTTCATATTGCTGTAGCTGTTAAATAACTTATTGATTACTGCACACCATGTGAAGACGCTGCCCCCTACCAGCGCTGCTGCGTAGGGTTTCTCCCCCAAAAAGTACTTTGTTATTCTTTTACGAAAACACATTTATTGTCGATAATTTTTTTAAAAAGTAATTTAAGGGCCGCAACCTCAATACCAAACTGAGCCTATATTACTTATGCAAGTGCAGTGGAGACTCTCTAGTTAGTTTTTCTCCTCATTAGGTTATGCCTATTATGGTTGTTGAGTGGTTCTGTTGTTGGAGAGGCTTGGGCGATTGTCAAGACGATGCATTTGGAGGAAAATTCTTTGAATGTATGTGATAGAGAGAGAGGGACCTGATCTGTTCCAGTGTTTTCTCAAATACTAACTGTATAGTTGGAAATACTATGATCTAACAGTCTTTTCCCCATCTCTTTCAAAGTTATCAAATAATATATATAGATAAAGTTTGAACATCAAATGAAAAATCTTCTTAAGTAAATCTTTGAGCTCTTGATTGTGAAAACCATTATATCTGCAGTGAAGATTGACCTCACCGATTTTCTCCACGTTTCTTGCAGGGCACTATATCTTTCTTTCTTGGGCTATTTTTCCTTTTTGTTCGATGGCCACTAGTTGGAATAATCTTGGAAATATATGGTTGTATTATTCTCTTTGGGTTAGTCTCTGCTCTTAATCTTAAGCTTCAAATTGGATAATTTTGTGGTTCTTCTGCTAACATTCCTCTATTGTATGGTTGTAGTGGTTTTTGGCCATCTGTAAAGGTGTTTCTGAATCACATTCCAGTTGTGGGATGGATCATAAGTTATCTTTTCTGGTGAGTTCCTCTTCCTCTTCAATTATCATGCTTTCAAGCTGTGTGTGTGTGTGTGTGTGTGAGAGAGAGAGAGAGAGAGAGAGAGAGAGATTTTGTAATCATTACTCAAAAAAAGAACAAAAGTGAAAGGAAAAAGAAAATAGAATCTGCATTAATATTTTGTAAGCATTACTCGAAAAAAAAAATGGAAGGAAAAAAAAAAATAATAGATGCCAATTATATCTAATTTACAGCCAAGTGCTTTTGAAGGTAATCATTGAATTTAAATCACATTAGTGAGGTTTTTGTAGTGTATCATGAGGTTTTATGCATTTTTACAAATTTTAGTTAATGTACCATGAACTGGTTCATTCCTAAGGCGTTTTTCATGACATCTGGGCACATTCATTCTTGTTAGAATGAGACGTTCATGTGTCTTCTTCATTGAATTGAATCTTTTATATGGTCCCAAATTCTAATTGCACCGAGATTTTTCGTTGGTTTACAAACTCTATTGACTTGCAGATTCTTTATCCACCATAAGAGGACGCTTTCGACTTGGTTCAGATTGCGAAGAAGTGATGTCTTCTCAGTTTGAGAATCATCGTTCAGATAAGCATAAGAAGGAAAGGTGGGGCTAGAACTGTGCTATATATGAGGACCAGATTAATGGTACAAAAAGTTATCGAGTATTCAGCTCGCAAACTGTGATTATCTGAAAGAGAATGGTTTTGTATTTTGTAAGTTAACAATGAAAAAATAATTGAACAAGTTTCATATTTTCAGCATAGCTACAACTTCTTTTGAACAAAATGACTGAAAATAATAGGAAAAACAAAAACAAAAACAATACAAGAGTACATAACGAAGGTAAACTCAAAAGCGAAAGTGAGAGACAGAAAAATAAACATCCTCAAAATCTGCAAATTCAAGAAAATGAAGATTGTGTATATATCAACTATAAAGTTTAATTTCAATCTGAATTAAAAATATTAAAAAGAATAAAAGAATAAAAGAAAAGAAAAGTGGGCGCTGAGCCTATCTCGTCATCTGGCTATCGTCATGCAAAGGACATGTTTGATCAGAGAATCACTGGAGGTGTAGATTACATGGTTAATCTCACGAATAGTTTATACAACTTTAGTTCTTGATTTTTTAAATGTGTACAGTTAATTCTTGATGTTTTATTTTATTTCAGTTTTAATTTTTTTATAATTTAGTGTTAAATATTTGACATAATTTGTATAAATTATAAACTAAAATTAGAAATATATAAAGTTTAGAAACTAAAACAATATAAAATAATTCTTAAAATAATCTCATTTTTATTTTATATTAAAAATAAAATCATTTTAAAAACGCTACCAAACGAGCCATCAAGATTGACAATGTTCTTTCCGTACTTTATATTATATGAGTCACATTAAATTATCGTTCCTAATTTTGTAAATAAACACATGCATATATTGATACGGGAACACTGTCTTACTTTTCCTTTTGCATTCATGTACATGGCCATACTTTGAGGCACGAGCTAGAAAACTAGAGCCCCACCACCACGTGCTTTTCTTTTGTCTTCCATAAATTAAGAATCCGCAAGGCATAAGTGGAGCTAAAGAAGCCTAGCATGTTTCTATCTTCACTCTAGGATTAGATTTTTCTCCCACAAAAAAAAAAAAAAAAAGAAAAAAAAAATCTGAAAGTAGTAGTGGTAGCATATAGCAGTGAAGATGAGCGACGGCGGCCGAGACAGCGGGAAACCATCATCTTCGGGCAAAGGAAACGTCCAACAAGGGTCTAGTTTCAGCAACCAGCCACTGCCAAGGGGCCAGACGAAGAACAAAATTATGGCTGAGATTTTCAAGCCATCCAAATGATATTATCGTTCATTATTATCCCAAATCTTCATGGGATAATTAACTTGTATGTTAATGCAGTTGGTTTAGTACGTACTTGTTGTGTCTTTTTCTTGTTGGGTATATGGTTTTGTCTGTAAATTGCTATTTTCTTATTAACCTTTCTTCTAGATCTGTATGATCTCTCTTATAAATATGATAATATAAAGTGTTTGCACTTTGATGCTTAATTGTTTGTTTGATAAATGCTTTCCAAAATAGCGAAGTAACAATTGAAACATTTTCTCAGAGTAGTACTACTTTTTTTTTTTTTTTTTTTGGTCACTCGATGATAGTTGGCTACTTAGTTTGATCACTTTTGTCTTTTAATTTTTTTTTTTTTTGTTCATTTTTGGTTTATAACTCACCTTTACAGAATCTTGCCCAAAACATTTGTGCGCCTACCAAAAAATAACCGCAAGTAAAATAACATACCAAGTTTCCACAAATTGAAAATCTAAATCGGATAAATTGTCTTTTATACATAGAGCTTATAACATGGACGATTTTTCTCTTCTTTTTTTTTTAAGATGAAATTCATTACTCAATTTAGTAGTTTTAAACGACCATTCTTTTTCTTTTTAAGATGAAATTCATTACTCAATTTAATGTTGGATTGGATGATAAATTGTCTTTAGTCATTATATACCAACGCACATATATCACTTATTTTACATATCATTTAAATTTAGTAAACCAGATCACATAATATGTGATCAGAAACTAAATACTAAAAAAATTAAGTAATTCATTAGACGCCAAAATTCAATTGAAGGACAAGTTAATAGGACTAAAAAACGGACAGCAAATCTTAACTCACCACATGTGGTACCTAACAGATTAAAGGATGTATCTTACATTATATCTAATAGTTTTGGGAGCGTTTATTGAAAAACGAGACAAAACAAAATAAGTTAGGCGAGGTGCTTTAAAATTATATAAAAGAATTGTGCCTTGTCCCAATTTTGCACTAGAGTGAAAAAAAAAATCTACTGATATAAGACACAATTCTAAACAAATTATGTTAATACATATAATATTGAGGAAAATAAATTTAGTAAATTAAAATCATGTACCACATTTACTATTTATCTTAAAGTTATTTGTTGACATTATATTTTATTATTATAGTTATCATATGATTTTATTAAACTTAAAGCTTTGCTAATCGAGTTTTCAGTTTTAATGTGCAGTGCAACTAGCTCGATGTGGGAACTCAATGTGCTAAACTTATGAAAAAAATGATATTTATTATGATTATTTGATATGATATTTTACCTCTATTATGATTGATTTAATGATGAATTATTATTTTATATTTTTATTGTGTGGTATTATGTAAATGTGTTGAGAGAAGGCTATTTTGTGAATTGAGTGAACTTTAGGCGCCTAATTGAAGAAAAAAAATAGAGACTTTAGAGCTAGCTATTTTGTGAATTGAGTGAACTTTAGGCGCCTAATTGAAGAAAAAAAAATAGACTTTAGAGCTGATTTTATGAAGTTAGGACAAATGTTAGAGGCTTAAAAAAACTTAGACACTTGTCCTACTATAAGGTCACTTTACTTTTGCTTGGTCTCTATCATGTTTAGACTTCATATTTAGGTCTATTTCAACAAAAAAGCCTAGAACTCCAACCATAACATTTTCTTCTCTCTTCTCACTCCTTTTCTCACCCAAAACTCAGAATCAAACCTAGGTTTTCAAGAGGGAATGAGCTAAAAACTCAACCAGCCAATTTCAACTCATTTTCAACCTAGAACCAAAAATAATCACCAAGGTTTTGAGCTTCTATTCGCGTAGGAACACGTTTTTCTTTGAGGGATCTTCTTTCTTATGTTAGAAACTAAGATTTTAGAGATTAAGATGTTGAAATCCTACTTAAGATGATTTTTGATGTGGCTTATCATGCATGTTCATTGTACACGCTTAAAAGTAAATTTTTTGAGGTTTTGGTTAAAATATTAGTTTATGGGTGAAATTAATGATTTTAGCTTGATATTATTGATGATTATTTGAAGATAAACTCTTACTAGGATGATGATTTATGTATTTGAGAGTGGTCTTTGAAGATTAAACTTTGCATGCTAGGTATTTGATAAAATGTTCAAATATAAGTCCTCTGTACAGCAATGTAGATTCTGTTTTCGTGCTATATATACTTATGATTTTGACTGATCTTATATTTTTATATTAAATTATACATCTCAAACTTTACGTGAGTTTTTAAATCACTCTAAACGGATTTTTTTACATTTAGTTATGAATTTTATAAGTTCAGCTACAAAAGCTGTCATTTTCCTTACGAGATTATACTTCAATCCAGATTTCGGACTGTTTTTGGTTAGTATAAAAAATATGAAACCTATCATGTAGTAGTTCTAAAAAGAGGGTTTTGAGTCTACTTTTATTTGCCACTGATCTTATAATATTTTGAGTTTTGATGAATTAGTTATGAATATTTTCGTAACAATGAGCAGTTATGTGTTTTGTTAAATGATGATATGAATGTGATTTTTGAAAATTATCGTTTTTAAAGGTTAATTAGCACATTGAAGGCTCCCTACAACCAGCTAGTTTGTGCTTTTAAAGTGGTGATCAAAATTCAGGTAAGTAGAGTTAAAGCATTTTTTAAACTGCATCACAAGACCTGTTTGACGAAATGACTTGTTCAGAATTATGATTTATGCAAGTTTATTCTCTTATGAAATTCTCATATGATTATGTTCAAAGAGTATTCATGATTAATTATTTTGAAAGAGATTATGATATTTGCTTATTATGTTTTTATGTTTTAAGAGATTTTATGGTATGATATATGGATGGGAGGCTGGGTAAGCAAGGGTGCGAGGGACCGGTGCCCCAAATTAGAATAACTGTCTCTTTAAGACAATTAGAGAAAAATACTAGTGAGAAGTCTCTTGTTGATCACAAGAGAAAGAGATTCTAAAAACCCCGCTTAGTGTTTAAGAGAAGAGAATTGACAAAAATTAGAGAAGGTCCTATAGAGAGAGAGGCTTACTTAGAACCGAAGTTCTGTATCATACCTAAACTAAGAATAAGTATGAAAGTTATGAACAATGTTTAATAAATAGATTTCAGCCATAGAGATTTTAGATACTTTATTTGAAATTTACTTACTGAGTTTTTACTCATTAGTTTTACCTTGTGATGCAGATGATGTTGTTACCGAAGAGTAAAAAAAATGATTTTTAAGGTTGGTTGAGTACTCCAAGTCCTACAGCTAGCATCTTGCTTATATGTATTTTCAAACAATAGATGGGCCTAAAATGTTTTTTTTTTTTTTGTTACTATGTCGCTTTTGAATAACTGTTTAATGCCTAAGATTTGTAGTTGTAATCATTTTGCGCATTGACTCATTTTGTTCAAAAATCTTTACAAAAATTTTATGATGACTTCAACAACAAATTTCTGCATCTTAAATATAACATTATTTTAAATGTAGAAAATATGTTTTAAGTAGCACAATCTCGCTAAATTCGGCCCCGATTTAACGTCTGGGGCGTTACATGGCCCCGTTCACTTCACCGATTCGAGTTTAGAATTCGAGTTTTGCTACAGTAAAAAGTTATCAGAAACAGTCACATCTAACTTTTTTGCTACAGTAAAAAGTTCTCACATAAAGTCACATTTCAATTCGAATTAAAAACTCGAATCAGCGAACTAAACGGGCCCATAGAAACTCTATGGACTTGCAGATTCTCGATCCACCATAAGAGGACGCTTCGACTTGGTAAAGATTGCGAAGAAGTGATGTCTTCTCAGTTTGAGAATCATCGTTCAGATAAGCATAAGAAGAAAAGGTGGGACTAGAACTGTGCTATATATGAGGACCAGATTAATGATTCAAAAAATTCCTGAGTA